TCCTAATTACTTTGAACCATCACTGTTGCTTTCGTGCATAAGCGAATACAAACAGGTACATATACATACAAAGACAGACACACTCACAGGCTTCGAGGTTGACATATGACCGTAACTAACCAAATCACTTTATAGCTGATCAAAGAGGCCAGAAATAGAGTATATATACCGCTTTTTAGGGATTTGCCGGTGAGTTTTCTTGACTCGTTAGCTTGCATTTGGTTGTGAGGATGATACCTTGCTCTGATGATGTTCGTCATGTGACGGACGAAAGCTTAGCACCTTTTCACCGAGATCGAAGGGGATTACCTCGGAAACATGAATGTTCCAGTAAAGCCAACCGACAGCTGGTCAAGAGGAATCCGCCGTCGTCTTCTGGTGGAACCGACCTTCGAATCTCTTCGACCAACACTTTCACTCGAAATGGAAGTAAGCTCAACTACTATGAAGCAAGAGATTCCTCGAAAACCTACTTTTCTTCGCATAGTTTATTTATGTTAGGAAACTGCTGTCACTGAATCCACTTTCGGTTCATGAAGGGTAAGTTTGATGTAGACAGCCAGATCATGAGATATCTCATTGGGATCACAAGGTTAGGTGCATAAAAGGTTATTAGAGTTGCTGCTGGCCAACTTTTCTCCTGGTCTAAAATGTTTTTGCACTATTTCGTAAAGCATGGATTATTGATTTAATTATTTCTATTACGAGGGAACAGAGGAAAGCTTAGCACAATTTAATCGGAGTCACAAGACGGTGAGCCGAGGACTGCTTTCTTCGGTTTCCGATAAGACCATTGCACGAACTCCTTCAAACCAACTTTTCCTTCAAACGGAAAAGTCATGTCACAATCTCATACTTCCCATCAAGATTTTCATCATTACTCTCTTCCTCATTCTCCTCCTCCTCCTCCTACGACGACAACTACTACTTCTCATTCTTCTTATTCTTCTTCTCCTCTCCTTGTTTCTTTCCCTCGTCTTCCCCCTTCACCCTAGGGTCCGGTCGTAATTGGTCAGCAGATTGTGCTCCATCGCTCGAACCCCGGACGTTTGAGATTTAAGTCAAACATCTTTCAATTGACGAGTCCATCTAGACTTGTCATGCATGCTCTTCATGTCACTTATTGACCATTTGTCTGCCTCATCCGATAAGTTGCCCAATACCTGTGCGATGTCGAATGAAAGAGTCAACCTGAGGTGCTGTCCGGAAGGATCTTCAATGGCAATTGCTTATCATTACCTCATGCCAGCAGGACACGGAAAGAGGTGTTCAACTCTTAAACGTTTTCTCTGGCTGGCCCTAGATCGAGTCCTTATCCTCTGCTTGCATATGATAGCCTTGGATACAAATCTCAGAATATCTGGGTGTTGGTGTGCTTGTGAGTGTAACTTTAGGCTTAACTAGGCTCTTAGTCCCGAGGACGTGTAGCTCGTGAATATGATCAAGCAAAGTCAGAGTGTGTGATAAAAAGCCCAAGGGTGCAATGTTTATGAATAGAACTAACTTTTGTTTGTTTGTGTGTATTATCATGCTTGTACGCGAAGCCGCAGCTGTCTGTTGGGTTTCTAAAGTGCCAGTACGTTGGTCTGAGTGCAGTATTCCCAGTCGTTTCAGAAGTGAACCAAACGGCAACCGGTTGCTTGTGCCTGGGTTTCCGACTTTCCAACGGAAGAGACAGAGAGACATAAAAAGATATAAATATGAATAGAAACAGATATATTGAGATAGGAGGACAAAGGTAACGAGTGAGACAGACAGAACCAGTGACAGAGAAACAAGGACATAGACAAAGACATATGGAGACAGAATAAGAGATAGAAAAGAAAAGAGACAGACACAGACACAGCGACAGGGACGGAAATTGAGAGATTAAGAGACGGAGACACACGGATACAGATAGACAGTGACAGACAGAGACAAATAGAAACAGATACATACAGACAGCGACAGCGATAGAGAGATACAGATAGACAGAAACAGCTAGAGAGATAGATATATAGGAAGAGAAAGACAGAGAGAGAGATAAATTGAAAGAAACGTAAGGGGACAGAGATTGAGAGATTAAGTGACGGGGAAAGACAGAAACAAACAATGCAATAGACAAAGACAGAGACAGCAACCAAGGAGGAGAAAGAGGGAGAGAGACTGAGTGAAATAGACAGACAGACGGACATACGGACAAACTGACAAGCACACAGTCAGACGGACGAAGAGAGGAAGAGTGTATGCGTGAAGACGAGGACGAGTGGCGGCAGAAGAACGTATGGAAAGAACAGCATTTCGGGCACATGATGATTCACTCGGTGGACGGTGATGCGTCCAAGTGAAATAGGATTCAGCCAAATATGGGCATTTCAGAGCTATGGTTGGGATTAGGCCTTGGGCATATTTGACGGAAGGGAAAAAAGGCGAGGCCGTTTCGTTTGGCCAGAGGATTGGTGCAAAGGAAAAGGCGAGCCGAATCGAGTGAGGTGCCGGAGCACTGGACACTGACGAAACACGAATGTGACTTTAGGCGAACCCGGGCGAAAACGACCGTGACGGAAGGAAATCTCAAAGTAGGATGGACTCGATCGATACAAGCTCGAGTGAGAGTGAATCCAGCCAATGAGGAGCCGGCGTACTGAGTGAATGCAAGGGCCGCAGATGGCGAATTGGATCGATATGAAGCTGACCAAAGACAAGCGTACTTAAAGGCTGGACCTGGACGAAAGAAAAGACCCGAACGTAGGCAAAATGTTTGAGGGCTTAAGGAGTGCCTGAATGATTTCGTGAGATTTAAAAGGGTTTTTTTCGAAGGTACAGTTGGTTGAAACGATTTGCGAATAAGTCTCACTGTAAATTAAATTCTGGAATGAAATGATATGCAAAACATGTATATGAAATCGGTGAGAATAAGACGTCTGAGTCTGGCAGCATGAAACCGAAAGATTGATTACTATTTTCCGTTTATAAGTAGGTTTTCGAGACTACTACTATTACAACAGCTCTTATATCGGATCGACTAGTAATCTTGAAAACCTACTTATAAACGGAAAATAAGTAATGTATCCCCTTGTCATAGCAAATACAACTTTGCTTCATCAAAAATCACAACACAGAATGTGATGTGGGAAAATGCCCGGCCATTCTTAAAATTAGCATCTCCCCAGTGACTCAATGGCACTCATGGCAATCTGGTGCAGTGGTTAAAGTGTCGAGATTGTACGCCGCACTACCACAACCCGGGTTCGAGTCCCGCTAGGGGTG